CGAGTGTGATTCACAGTTCAAGGGCGAAAACATCGAGCTTCACCGGGAGGAGGCGCTATTCTGGGGCTGAGCAGAAAAAAACCGCCAAAATATCTTCTGGCGTAGAAGAAGAAGGTTTTGTCCAATCACAAGCTGTGTTTGTTGTTTACCGGAAAAGATCCAGTTTAACGTTTCACGTTTGGAAAACTGCAGAAAGGTAAGGGTGGAGATATATGTCTTTTAAATAAACGTAAGACTTTTATTGCATGTTGTATGTTATTTAATAGGAATTATTTTTTTCTCTGGGATTCTTTGGAAAACATACATGTGCTCACTTTGAGTATGTCGTATTCTGTGTATGAAAAATGGAGATCAACAAATAACCATTCTTATCGAAAGCCAGAAAAAAAATAATTGTTTTAAAGTAAGTATTACTTTTGGCTGCTCTCAGATACTCAGGCAGACTGAAAGCTGTCCACCAAAAAGTTTCATCCTGTGCTGTGATGCATGGATTACATAGCTGAAGGTCTGACAGACAGTTATGGTTGACAGGCAATCAGACAAGTAGGCTGGCAGAACAACAGAAAAAGCTGTAAACAGGTGGAGTAACATTAAAGTCATCATGAGTTCTGAATCAATTGCAGATGATTCATTGTTTGTTTTATTTTTGAGTACACTAGTGTGCTGGACATAAGAGCTAAAAAAAACCACTACTATTGTGAACCTATAGTGACATCTGCAGTTGAAAAATTATTTTAATTGCAGAAAAACACTCAGATTAAAGGCTGAACTTTGTGGCTCAGTTTGTCTCACATACAATTTTTTCCCCCTTTTTTTGTAGTCTGTGACTGTGTTTGATAAAAGAGACTGAGGTTAAATTAAAAACTAAAAATGTACTTTATTTTTTCTTCTGTCTCCTGGCTGCAGGATGTCCTGTAATTCCAGTGTTATTCGACTTTGTGCATCATCAGTGGGACAGGCACCGCAAGCTCCAGTCCACCTCATGCCATGTGAGATTGAACACAATGGGCCAGCACAGGTCAACCAATACTTCACTGCTACCACCAAAGACCAGAAACAAGGTAAACACAAAATCTTTTGATATCTGCTAATATGGATTAATCCACAGTGGACAGATAAAAATGTAGAGATAAAAGATCACTAAATGTGTAAATAAAGCAAACAGCTGCCAGTATCCTGGTTTTAAACTATTTTTGCTGCTTTTTTAATAACTGCTGTTTCTGATATGATTAATTTGTTTTGGGGGTAAAAGTGGAATGGTTTTTAAGAATTCTTGGGAATCTTTAGTTAAAGTGAGTTGCTATTTAACACTTAAGTAATAAAAATGTAGCTTTATTGTCCTTTTTGAGACAGAAAACACTAACAAAGCGCAAAAACCAGCATATGCTAAAGCAAAGTGGACACATATGAACACTACCCGAATGTCTGTCTGAACAGATGAGTTTTAAGCTTCATTATAATGGATGCCACAGAGTAAAGGGTGTGTGTAGAAAGTGGTAAACTATTCCCTAGTTTTGGAGGTTTGGAAGTCACTATCATATTTAGTTTTCAAATGGGTTTGCAGAATCACAAGAAGACCCCTACCTAAGGACTTGAGAACACAAGTGGAGTAGTTTGACAAAATATGTGGGGACCTCAACCTGTAAGGTCATAAAAGTGAGACCCAAGATTTTAAACAATTCAAAAACTTTAAAAGTGGGATGTTATGCGAAGACTTATGAGAGTGAGTTAAAGCCTTACAGGATCAGTTTAGACAGACTGGAGGCGACAAGTAGGTGCTTTAGGAAAGAAAACTGCGCATTACACAGCACACATCAAGAATCCTCAATGCTTTGTTTTGTTTTTTCCTTTCACATTGCAGATAAGTCAGTGTCATTCAGGGGACGTGGGTTAAAGGGGCAGGAGATCAGCTGTCCGCAGGGCTACACGGGGCTGGTACTGAAAGAGATCAACAAACCCGGCTCAGACCAGGAGGTAAATACCACTGGAGTTGTGGGTCCAAGAACTATTTCATAAAATCAGATGCGTAGATGAGGTTTTTGTAACTTGTGTTTATGTGTGTTTTCAGGACAGGACAGTGAAAGTATCTTCTGTATTTGACAAAATGACCTACTGGAACCTGGAAACACCTCCTAATTCAGACGATACTATTGTGATGGCAATGGATTGGCCTGATTTGGCTGAGGCAGTGAGTTGTTTTTTCCCCCTCTTGGATCCATTAATCCAAGATCAAACCAAACTTTGTCTCCTAGTAATTAATATTTAATACATTTAACATAAATAATGTGTGTTTTTTTGGTGAAATATGACCCAAACAAGCTTGGGATACCCTTGGCTGTATTTTGGAGCAGGTTCATATACTATTCAGTCACCTTTAATCACATCCTACAAAAAATTAAGCATGTAATACCAGTTGTTGCTTGAAGCTGCTGTTCTGAGTTAATTACCAGTTATTTCCTGGATCTATATTACATTTCCATCTGTGGCTATTCAGTACATGTTCACCGGGTTTCATAAATATAACGTTTTCTTGTAAACTCAAATTACACTGCACTGAAAACCTCAGTTGAGGCTCATTCTCTTTGGTGGAGGAACTGTGTTTAATTCAACTGATGAAAATGCAAAAGACACAGACAGAAATCTTTTCAGATATTTGCAGGTTTGTCCTGATATTTTGTCCCTTCACAGATCCACGCTCCAGTAGAAGACTGAAGAAGCCGCCTGATGTCTCCTCAGCATTTTACATATGAAATGCGCCGCTTGCTGGTTATTCATGATAACTGGTGGAAAGGCTTAAGAAATATTTTCAGTAAGTGTTGCTTTTGCAGAGCAATAAGTTACACAACCTTTGTATATATCTTTAATGACATGTTTTTTTTTCTAGTGAACAAAAAATAAATAAATAAAAGTCACTGACCAAAGTGTGCAATGTTTTATTCACTGAAAAAACTACCATGTTCATGTGGCACGTTCTACTCAACACTGTTTATTCACAAGGGCACATTTAGATTCTGTAGACTGGCTACTATAAAACCCTCTAATATGTATTAACTGCAATTATGATATGATAACGGTATGGTAATAACGACACACAGCAGCTGTCATACAAATACACTTAAGGTGGTGCAGAATGAAAGAGTGTTTAACATTAACTTAAAGTTTAAACAGAAGGCAGAAAACTGCATGTGTTCAAGTGTGTCGATACTGTGGTGGTTCTCAGTCATGGTAGTTTCAAGTGCTTGAAAACTATTCATTGCAAATGCGTAAATGACCCTCAGGTCCACCTCCAAGGATACAGTCCCCACTAAGACTCTCAGACAGCTGATGAAGCCGCTTGGATGAGAGGCAAGAAGAACATAAAGAAGTCCAGCTGCCTTCTTTTCAAGCACTTGAGACGATATGCTGTTCTGTCAAATTACAGAAGTAAAACTGGTATGAGATTAATCAACCTGTTAGCTAATCAAGAAATGTTGGCCAGGAGCGTTCAGGGTTTTGTCTCCTTGACAACATTTGATTGTATCTAATGAACAATGTCAAACAAAGTCTGAAATGTGTGGTGATAAGACACAGACGTTACGACCGGACATGCACAGAGCTGGGAGCATAACTTGCAGTAAACTACAATGTAAAATCCAATCCTGTGCAGGTCACTGGAAATAAAAAAGTTAATTTAACACCTTTATCCATTTCCATTATTTTCAGATGCAACTTCAGTATTTCTGGATCAGTTACTTTATGTTCCTCATTTGACACTTACTGCATTGGAGATAAAGAGGAAGGAAATGAAAACAAGAAAGAAACAAGTCAGGTATTGACAAAGTGACTTCAAAACAGTTTGAGCTCACATTTGGGGGTTTAAAATGGCACAAAAATCAACTTTCTGGCACTGAAAGAGCAGTCATACAAATTTAACAAATAAAAAAATAAAACCTTTGTGTTTGTTTTGAGTTAATAAAGCATAAGTGGTATAGTATGTCACATGACTAATATTTTTAGACATCTTTTTCATCTCTGATAATTTTAACAAACATACGTCTTTGATGCAACAATGGTAAATGGCCTGTATTTGTATAGCGCTTTTCTAGTCCCTAAGGACCCCAAAGCGCTTTACACAACCTGTCATCCACCCATTCACACACACACATTCACACAATGATGAAGGTATTTAAAATTACAAACTTGGGTGCGAGGTGTCACTTAATATTACAAAGAGTACACAATAGTACAGCTATCAAATCTGTTCCAGGGCTCCAGTAGACAACAGTGAACATTAAACAGATTAGATTTGTGAATAAAAGAAGTACCAATATGTGTGGGTAAGATTGGGATCAAATTTCCAGAAAGGAAAGTTGGGGTATCTGTGGAGCGTTTTTAAAGTGAGAGATATAAAAGTCAGTCAGTGGCAGGGGTGGGAAATTTTCTCTCAGCCACTCAAACATTTAACCAGCCACGATTTTTTTTTTTTGTGTGTAACATTTGCAATGTTGCGTTATATTTACTCCAGAAATATAACGCCACATTGCAAATGTTACTGATCGATTTTTCCTCCCTCTTCTAGATCCCCCTTTTCCATTAGTACCTACTCGGATTGATTTGCCACGGGAGTCAACTCAGATCGACTGGTTCTCTATTACAAATCAGTACTACCTAACCTGCGTGGTTGTCATCACAGCAATGCGTCAGAAAACCCTGCAACTTTATTAATATGTGACATGAACACTACAAAAAAAGGTGGCCGTTGAGGCAAGAATATACCTGCTGCTCGGTCTGTGGCCTTTCGTCAGACTTGGGGACCACAGAGTTATTTTTGTAGCCATTTCCCCTGCTGCTGCTGGGTTTAAAAAATGGTGGTTTCAATTTTCACGAACGTATGTAACGAAATATGTGCAGCAGGCTAAGCGTAATTTATGGTCCCAAAAATGTGTTTGTCAGCGTACATCTTTCCATTCGGGGTGAAAAATACAGAACAGGCAGTGGCTGCAGTTGACAACGTTTTACTGTTTTAACACTCTGCTTCACTTCAGCTCTTTTGTATGTCATATATGCTGTATGTATGCTGATGGATCAACAACAGCACAAGCAAAAGTGGCTCACAGACCGGTTGCACCACATACTTTGTACACTGCCTCCATATGACAACGGAGCTCTCTGCAGGTATACGGGCAACCCCAAAACTGCCAGCGGACAGCAAACATGCTCTCTCTGTTGGATCATAAACTCAGCTTTAGAGTGATTAAGGACAAAGAGAGATGGAAACATACTGATGAATGAAACGTGTGGTGAGCAGATGGAAGGAGTACTTTAAGGAGCTGATGAATTAAAAAAAATCAGAGAAGAGGACAGACAAAAGATAGTGAATCAGGAAATGCAGAGGATTAGTAAGGAGAAAGTGAAGGCAGCTATGAAGAGAATAAAGAGAGGAAAGGTGGTTGGTCCAGATTACATACCGAACAGTATGGAGTCTTTGAGAAAATGTACATACTGTACATTTTGTTGTGGAATTGAAAGGTGTCTGTGTTAGCTAAGAGGTGGAGGTGGTGGTGGTGGCTGCGCTGGCAGAGAGGACTCTGTGTCTACTTTGCTGCGTTTGGCTGGCAGTGTGTGGTCATGCGCTTTGCGAATGTGTCGGTACAGATCGCCCGATTGTGTGTAGCTTCGGTAGCAGTAGCGACACTCATACGGCCGCTCCCGTGTGTGCACAATGGCATGGCGTCTCAGGGTGTAGGTGCACGAGAAAGTTTTTCCACAGACACCACACGTTGGTACGTCCTCTACAAAGTTTCCTACAGAGTCCTGGAGCTCCTGGAAATATGCAACAGGGTCGGAGTGCTGCTGAGATGTGGATGGAGGAATGAGGGATGCAGTGAAAGAGGAAGCATCCTGGGAGGAAGGTCCAGCCCCAGAGGAGGAGGAGGAGGGAGAGAGGGGGAAGGAGTAATCATTTGTTTGGGAGGTCAATTGTAAGAAGCCCTGTGGGTGAGAAGAGAGAAACTGAGGGCTGTTCAGATCTTCTTCCTGGATGTCATCTTCAAAGTCATCATCAACTTCCATCACGGGTTCTCTCTCTTTGCTTTCCTCTTTCTCATCCTCTAGCTCTTCATCTGATATAACAATTGCCTCCACTTTGACTTTCACATTCTCTCCATCATTGCCTCTCCTATCTGTTCCCATTAGAGGGTGATTTTTAGTATTAGATGAAGCTCCAGTGCCCCCCTCAGGTCCTTTAAGCATTTGTCTCTGAGGAGGAGGAGCAGCAGCGAGGGATTCTGAGCTCTGGGTTTGAAGCGATATGGCACTCTGAATTCGGATCTGTGGAGGCGCACGCCGGGACAGCGTCTTTGGTGCGCTTAATTGTAAATGTGAGGTCAGAGCTGATGCTTGGATCAACATAACCATCTGCTGTCCTTTGCCTAATGTACTTCTGTCATCAGTGACTGAGGGTTCCACTAAAGAGCCATTGCGTGGGAGTTGCGGTTCATCAGGATGTGCACTGGATTCTGACTGGGGAAGAGCAACCAGTGAGCGACCAGCAGCCTGGCTCACTGGGACCAGAGAAGAAGATGAGGAGGAAGGCTGCTGGTTACTGCTGAAAAATAAAAAGGAAGATACAAAGCCTTTTGATAAAAAGAAATAAGAATGTTCAATTTCTTATGGTTTAATCTAAATAATGATCATAAGTCCTCTCAGTGAAGGCTGTATTGAAATCAGATTTTACTTTACTTCTCCTGTTATATATATATATATATACACATATATATGTCCTTACACCCTTAAAAACATCTGATTATGAAACTGAATTAAAGACAACACTAAATAATTATAGAACAGAATTAAGTAATGTATGCTGCCATTGAAGTGTTCTTGTTTTTCCTTATTTTCTGTCTGTAAATCAACAATTTATCTACCTGCATGTCTCAGTGGTGCTACAAGGACTACAGAGTGCTGTGCCTTCTCCCTGATGCACAGCCCCCATCCTGATGTGACCTCCAGGAGCAGGGGCAGACTGGCCTGTGATGAAGCCTTGCACCAGCTCTCCACCTGGGGGCAGAGGAGGGCCATCCATGCCTGGCTGGGTGGTATCGGCGAGATCGGGGCTCAAAGGAGTCTGAACTCGTGCCTCTGATGACTGCCCACCAGTCCTTTGTTCAGACTTCACAGTCTCCACATGGCTCCTCTCTGCCACCATGGATGCTGATAACAGTGGTGCAGCTATAGTGACTGGATTTGAGTGATCTGATGCCATGGCCACCATGGGCTCTGCTCCACGGTCACCCCCATCCTTCCTCCGTGTCTCTATTTCCTTCCTCGAACCAGCACTCTCTTCAGAGCGTGTGCTGTCTGCCTCAGCCAGAGGCCCTCGTCTCTGCAGCCGCCTCTTGCAAACTCTTACTACCTCATTCATGTGTAGAAAGCTTGCAGCTGCCAATACGTCCTCCACTGGAGGTGACTCTTCAAGCTGCAGCACTCCTTCATAGACAAAGTCCAAGAGCAAGCCAAATGCAGCTGATGTGACAATGTCACTGTCGAGCGTGACAGAGCTGCTGGTGCTGTTTCCTCCTGGAGAGTCTGAGTAGAACATATGGAAGAATGGCGAGCAGGAGGCCAAAACAGCCCGGTGAGCCAGGAAACGGGATGAGCCCACCAGGACGGTGCAGTCACAGAGGAAGCCCCGCTGGCGCTGAGACCGCAGGGCGGACAGCAGCTGCTGGGAATGCTGAGGAAACTCCATCACCTGAGCAAAAGAGACAGGGAGAGATGCGTTTAACCCCTACAAGTGAAAGCTTCTGTATGAAACTATACTGAATCACAATACAGTAAAGCAAAGCACAATTATACAAAAAGAGGATCTGTTCTTGTGGGATAACTGTAGGTAAATATTGTGCACTAGAAAATGTTTAAAATGTCCTCAAAGCTGGAAACACATTATAGTTATCACAGTGTGTAATAAAGCATTTATGACATGTCTGCTTTATAGGGAGACAACATGTTACCTATGCACAAAATAAAGCACAATAAACTAAATAAGTTAATTAACTTATTTTCTCTGAGTGACAGTGTGATTTTTTTTAGATGTACTCTTTAGATAAATTAATGTTAATGCTTAGATAAACATCTAATAATATTTTATAAGACTACCTGTAGAGAAATCATAGGGGGACACTACAGCTAAATACAACACAAACATTTCCTAATTACTTACACTTACTAACAAAATATATATGATTTCTGACACTGTTCCATATAAACGATAACTGTTGAATAATGACATGTCTCATCTAATTTTGCACCAAGATACATTACTTTTCCAGAACAGACACTGGATAATGCCGAGGTCAGAATTGCTAGTGCAAGATTTATACAGTTATATACAGTTATGCAGTTTTTTGTTGTTGTTGTTGTTTTTAAATCATTATACCAGTAAATAAATGGCTACGGCTATAAATAAAAAAGAGAGAAGCTATTTTTAAAATTGGAAATGGATTATTTGGAGCAAAAAGTTAAAGTGGCTATCACCATATATCGAGAGAGAGAGATAAAATAAAAGACTCACGGCAAACTCTTCGTGTTTCCGTCTTTCAGCGCTGTTTAATGGCAGGTAAGACTTTAAACAGCCGTCCAGCTTTAACGTTGCTAACATTAGGTTTCCATGGTGACCTGCTCGAATTCTTCGGTCCGCTGGCAGATCTCTTCATCCACGAGCTCAATCTGTAACATGGGACGTGTCACACAAACAGGAGAAGAAGAAGCACGACTGAAAGCGTACACTTTTCAGAAATCCCCCCTGCTGCCCAGCCAGAAATTCAGGTAACCCAAGCTCAACGATGCTAGCATTAGTTAGCCAAGTTAGCTCAGGTTCTGTGTTCAGTTCCAGCACCAGGAGTATCCGGACAGTCCCTACTTTAGAGCCCGCTATTTACCAGATAGGTTCTTATTTACCACGGACGGAAACGATCGTTTCTATTCTTGAGTGCGTCATTGTTTTTGGTGGGTGTCCTGAACATTTTCTTACCTGCAGCCACTCAGACAACAGCTGTCTGTCTGAGTGATGTTTTCCTCCAGGACAAAAAAAAAAAAGAAAAGAAAAGAAAAGAAAAAAAAAAACCCCGCTTTTCCTCTGTGGTGCCGAATTACCGGAGCACTGCCCGTCACAGTGCCACCTGCAAGCGGAGAACGGGAACACACAGGAAGCGAGAGCAAGCCAAAACGCTACGCGCAATGCACTGACAACAAATATTATCCTATGCAACGTTTCGCAGAATTAAAACCAGTGAAATTTATCATACAACAGCTGTAAAACGAGGTCTGAAAAGCTGAGCTGCCTGTGCGTTCATGGACAGTGCCAAAGGAGGGGGAGGAAGTGGCAAAAGAGGAAGAGGAAGGAGAGGACATCGTGGTGGAGAGGTGAGAGTTTGTTGACCCATTCAATTGGGATAATTTCCCGTCTTTTTAATATCTCATCGTATTAGCTGTATGACAGGCAGTATGAGGGTTTTGGCATGGTAAAGTCTAGGTCCTATATTTAAACCACAGCTATAATTAGAACTAAATTTCAGTGTGTGTGTATGTTACTGAAAGTGATGCCTTTTCCACCACCAGGACAGAGATGTCCGCCTCTCTAAATCCATGACTTATGCACTTCGCCATGGAGCCAGCCAGATGGGTCTGCAAATGGGTACAGGTGAGCTGCTTACAGTCAGATCTAGGTAACACAGATAATGCAGGGTAGACTGGTAGGGATGCAAATTTAGCGAGGACTCTAAAGGAGTTTTCATTTGAAAATGTAGCAAATTTTCATATTATTACCTGCAATTACACACAGGAAGTTCACAAACACTTATAATGAGCATCAAAACCAGCTTCACACTTACACCTCCAGAAATACCTCGTGATTGTGGTCAGTTAGCTCTATCCTTGTCTCATTTAAGCATAAAGCTTTTCTCCAGAAGTCATTTAGCTTGTCCACGTGGGCAGTATAATCATACTATAATCATTCTGCAGTTCAAATAAATCATTAAAAGCCCTAAATCACCACTATTAAGGGCTAAGACAAGTGATGTGTACTGAAAACATAAAGGACCCTGATACATAGAGATAACCTGCATGTAATTAATGTCACCATTATAAAGGACATTTAAGAATGTAGCCTGTACATATGTTTACCTAACAGCAAAATTAAGATGGGCAGTTTAAAATAAATAAAACCCAATATAAACATTTTACTGAGTACCCAATATGACCTTTAAAGAAAATGATGTCATTCACCCAGGTATTTGTAGTATAATACTTTCTTCACAAAGTCTCCTGCTGGATATGCTTACCAATATTATTTGAGATCTGAGGGTGATTTCTGTAAACCAACATAAATTTGGTTTCCTTAACATTAAGAAGCTGCTTTAAACAAGACAATTTGGAGCTCTGACTCAGAGCAGGGTCAGCTGGTACAGTATTATACATTGAGCTACAGCCATTGCTCAGTTCCGGTAATTAGTGTATAAGGACATAGTGTATCTGTTAATCAGAAGTTTGGTAGTTTGATCCCTGGTTGTTCCCAATGTGTATCTTGCTAAGGCACATTCATCCACTGATGCATCAAAGTATGAATGTGTGTGAATGTCAGACAGAAAAGCACTTACACTAAAGTTGTGCCTGAAATCTGCTGGTCTGCTCGTCGAGTTTCAGGGTTGTTGCTCCTTTTACTGCTGGGATCACTTTGGACATTCCGCATCTCCTCCAGTTGTTGTTGATACTTCTGTTTTCTTGTGTTCCTTCTTTCTGATATTGCTGTCCGCTGGGATTGCCACATCTATCACAGCTGCGGTGTTCTGCTCCTTGTCAGCCAACACTATGTCTGTTTGGCTGGCCAGCAGCTGCTTGTCTGTCTGGAACTTGAAGTCCCACAGGGCCTTAGCCCTGCCATTTTCAAGCACCTTCAGCAGTGTTTGCCATGAGGACTTGGGGATTTCTAGTCCATATGTGGAACAGATGTTCCTGTATACTATCCCAGCCACTTGGTTGTTTCTCTTGGTGTATATTGTCCCAGGTACCATCTTACCTTTTTCTACTATGTGCTGGAGTGTCTTTGGAGCACCTTTGCACAGTCTTCAACTTTGGTCTTTATCAGCTGTGCTAGATTTCTGCCTCTTGTAGCCCTTTCTTATGCTCCTAGGATCAGAGCCTAGGAGCATAATGTTTTCCTTTAGGCATGTACAAACTATGCATTGGGAAAGTCTGAGGACGCACAGAGATTAGTACCAACTAACTAGAGGAACCTCTGATTATTATCATTCATAAATTTGATTCATTGTGTTTTGTCTACATGTGATGCTGGAATGCATCCTTAGAAAACACTGGTGAAATATCTAGAGTTGTCTTAATCACAATCACGTTGCTTGATGTAAACAACAAGAAGGGTAAAAAACTTCAGTTACACCAAAAAGACTTATGCATTCAATATGAAATAAGTAGTGTGAACAATTATAAGCAACTAGAAAAGTGGATGATACATACTTCTGATGTCCATACAACAAGTTTCACCTATGGACAGATCCCATTTAATGATGTTGTCATAATTTTGATAGCAGATGCAGACCTTAGATTTATTTTTATTTTTATTAATTTCAATATTGAACTTTTTAACATCCTTTTGCTGTTTTTGGGATTATTTGTAGAGAAAATGCTGCCAAATTGGATCAGTGCCTCAAACAAACAAGTTGTTGCTCACAGGGCTGTAACATCCACAGGGGAAATTTGACCATAGTCATAACAGCTCTCTTCACATATAGACGGCTTCCTGTTTGTGGAGGATCTCCTGGCTCACCCGCAGTTCCACTCGTACTCGTTGGAAGACGTTGAGAGAGTTGTGGCCACAAATGACAAGCAGCGCTTTAAGCTCTGTACCCACCCTGAGGATGGCCGGCTGCAGATTCGGGCCAATCAGGGTCATTCAGTACAGGTAATGAGAGTTACAAAATTGTAAGACATGTCAACACCTGTAAACTCTGAGAAGCTTATACTTGCTGTTGTCAGCACATTGGCTATATTGCATTATCCCCTAGCTAGATGCTGAATTCAGTAAATATTCAGTTTGTTTGTTTGTTCTTGCTGATCAGCAAATGATTAGAAAAATATGATGAAAATGTGATTTATATACTTTTGAGACATAAAACCAAAAAGCAACTCAGAAAATGCAGACTTTGCTTTAGTCAAATACCCAATTTGTGCCTAATATACTGTAGATGTGTATGTGTGGGAGAGTGTTAGTGAGTCAAAGACTATTTTGAAGAAGTTACTCTATTTCTTTGCATTCTTGTCATGGAAGAAGTCCTACAACATGGTAAAACAAACTCCATTTTATCCCAAATAATGTAATAAATCAATGTAAATAGAGTCTTTGGAATATCAGCATATCAGTGTCTTAGAATTAATCCCAAAATTACATTTTTAACAATCTTAAATTACAGGAAAATACACGGATACACAGAGTAGCTGTCTTTAATGTGTACAGACTGATAATGATTATATGTGTAGTCAGGCCTTCCCAAATGCCCCACTGATGCTGGAAAAACCCTGCACGAGCATTTGCATTTGATGTTAGGTTTAGGCCCAATAACAATGGGGAATATCTTCCTTTTAAATTTTTGGACACTGCCACTGTTGTTGACATTTCAGCTGAGCGTGGGATCAGTCAAACTCAAACTGGGCTTGAGTTTAATAATTTCTCTCACTATTTTCTCCAATACTAATCAACTGCCCATGACTAATTACTAAAATAAAGCAATAGTAACCAGAATGCCTTTCTTTACCAGATTTAAGGCGGCTTTGTAAATCTGTGGCTATCCTGGCTGTGTTTCCACGGTCAGGTTGTGGATCTGGAGCTGAAACCGGTCATGGCTGGTTCTCCAGACTGCCCTGCTGAGGCTGTTCATGGCTCCTACCTCAGAAACTGGAGCTCCATCCAGCAGCAGGGCCTGAGCCGCATGAAGAGGACACACATCCATCTGGCACGAGGCTTGCCAGGGGAGGACGGCATCATCAGTGGTATGCTCGTGTGAGTTTGATGGAGAGTAGCTTGTCAGGAGGTTTGTAATACAGCGTTATTTTTTTCCCCACCAGGCATGAGGAAAGATTGTGATCTAGCTGTGTTTATTGATGTCCCCAAAGCACTGGCTGGTAAGATTAAACCCCGATTGCTGCTGTCCAATTATCTACCTTTACTCTATATGTGTAGGAACCAATGCTACTAGTTTTATGTGTCTCTACAGATGGTATCAAGTTCTTCTGGTCTGAGAATGATGTGCTGTTGACTGAAGGTGATGCTGAGGGTAAAATTCAACCTAAATACTTCAGCCGAGCTCTAAGACTGAGACCTTCAAGTAAGAAAAACTCTTATACAGAAATAAAAGTTTAGATTTTATGCTTACGTGGATTTGGGTTCACTATTTCCTTGTTCACTGAGCTCTCTTTTGCTGTGTTCCAGGGAGCATCCTGCCACTGCAGTAACAGCAGAGAGTGCTGTCCTGTCATTGGTCATTACCGCACTCACCTGACCATGTTAGCATCCGACGGTTGGTTGATGCTTATCCCTGTTCCCCTGGCAACACTTGTTTTCCAGCAGCATCGATTTATCAGCAACAGAAGTGTATATTCAGAAATCTCCCAAAGTGGCACCTGATTGGTAAACTTTAAACTGTTGATTCATTATTGAAAGTGAACAGGACAGAAGGTACATCCTTATTTTTATATGACAATTCAACAAACTTAAAAATACAGAAACCTTGTTTTCCCCACTTCATGCTAAATAAAGCATTGTACCAATGACTACCAGGATATTTTAACTGGCAGATCTTTAAATAAAGCGTATTGTGCATGTGGTTAGTCACGTGGCTAAGCATGGGAAATGAGAGGATGCAGACATTGAGGTTTAACGGACTGCAGTTTCCAGTAAGATATGCACTGACACGCACAGTGTGTGAGGGAAGATAACTTGTTTGAGGTTTCCTGTGTAAGAAATTGCCAAAATATGTCACAGCCATAAGGAGGGAAAACAAGAGATAATGAAAAGTATACAGCTCTATTTATTTTAGTAAATGTTTTATGTGGTGAATATTTTTATTGCCATTTATCTTATATTTCTCAGTCATATCATTACCTGTAACATTAATTTCTAATAAAAAGTTTAAGTAACACTGGGTCTGGAGCTCTGGACATTCAAGGCTTTCAATTCTGAGCAATGCTGATTACATTTCTTGACAGAGTGAGTTCAGAAAAGTAGTTAGAAGTTAGAGCTGGCTGATTCAGCTGTTGATTTTACATTTCTTTGAGTCTGATTACGACGCCTGCTGAACCTGGACCAGAAGCCCAGCAGATTGGCCCAGCAGCAGTCCATCCTGTAGGGAGGGGGGAAGTCAGCATGAGGACCGCTGGAGTCTTGAACATGTCAGAACATATCAAGTTTAACATCCACTGATGTGTGAATGGAAAACTTGGTGTACTTACAAGTTTCTAACACATTTACAGTAAACTGAATATCTTGTTTTTGATGATTTCCTTATCTTTTTGTGGCTGCTTGAGTTAAACATTAAGTCTTTTTCCAAGCTGGTTTTCCACTGAGACACAGGAGGTCTGATGGGCTGTCAACCATCCCATTGTCTGGGCTTTTGTGTTTCAGTCTTAGAGAGCTTCGTGGCCACCGGTCAGCTTGTGGAATAGCTCCTCATTGAGCGTTTCGCTCTTCTCCCGACTGCGTGTCGACATGAAAATGTAGCCTCCGATAAACTCATGAACGATTTTGCAATCAGCAGTCACACAGCTGAAGGCAATGTTCACATTCCCTTCAAACTCAATGGCCATCTGGAGTAGACGAAAATGAACACAAAAGAAATGCAGAGCTATTTAGAAAAAAAATCTTAATCCAGGGATGAAAAATATCTTCACTACAAATATACATACATATCCCACGTTGTAAGTCATTAGGGCAATAGCTCCTAAATTTTCTTTCTGGTTTTGTAAAAGCATATTCATCAATCTCAGTTTCATTTCAGGTTTTTCACCTGGTTGTCTGTGCCCCACAGTTTCAGAACCATTTCCATTAAAAGATCTGACCAGTAAGAACTATAAATGTCACTTTATTGAAAGACACACTGTCAGCATGTTTTCAGAAGTCTTTAGCGTGCAGCTAACTTCATGCTTGGTTTGTGGGTCTGTCTCTAAACACACGAGCTTCTTTTCATTCATGCTCAGTTATCACAAATACCATTGTGTAATAAGGCATTGTACATCAGTTGTACAAGAAGTAATTATTCTTGCAAGCCTAAGGTTCAGGCTTCAGACTACTCAGAGTTCTCCCTCTTAGACAATTTTCTAAAACTCTTGGTAAAATATGAGGTCAGGACAGCGAGTAGAAGGTTCAAACCTCTTGTCAGAACTATGAATCATAAAAACCTCTGAGAATGAAAACGTGAAGTTGAAAATGAGCATTCTAGACATTTTTAAATTATCAGACAGAAGCCTGTTCAAGATATGAGTCATACCTGTCTAATGTCCCAGTTGACGTTCCACTGTTTCATGTTGTTGTAGCGCCAGGTCTTCACTACATCACCCACACTAAGGTCAATACGGATCAAGCGATTGGGAGCAATGCCGAGTACCTCATCCTTCCGGCTGCCTTTGAACCTGTTTGGCGGGGGGGGGGGGTACATTTTGTTTAGATTCCTCTAAGTTTATTAATTAATTAATTTTAGATAAAAGTCAGTCTTGAGTCCTCCATATAAAAATGATTAAACTTCTACAGAACTACGCTTAGTCTGATGACTTTGCACATTGCTGGTGGAAGGATGTTTAAAATTTTTCTTTCTGTCTACCTAAAAAGTGAAAAAAAAATGTTAGGTTAGTTTCATTTTTTTTTAGCATGAACTACATTTCTGCCGATCTTGGGCGTGCATTTCCCTCGACTACAGTCTCTGCTTTTATGCTGTTAAAACATTTATAATGTTCATAACACACAGAAGGAGGATGTTCGAGGTCAAGTGCTTTATAATAACCTTGTCACAGTGAATTTCGGTCTTTGATGTGTTCACTGGCACAGAATCAACTCTCAAAAGCTTTAAATGAAACTTTAAACTTAACCTGACAACAACGTATGCAAGCCCAAAGTCAGGCAGGGCTTGCCAGATCTGCAGGAAGCGCATCAATGCATCTGTCAGGGAGAGCTGAGCCACGTTCTGGTATGCATCCAGGATTCGAGGGGTCAGCTGGAAGAGCAGGCAGAGGGTAAAAGGTGAGATTTAATTATATTTTTGCTGCCATAAGCAGTTGCAGATTTGCACAGTTGCACAAAATTACTGTACTGTAAGGTCATTTAGGTTGGTAATTTGAGCCACACAAAATATATGAGATCAAAAATACTGCTTTGTGAAAACACAAGACAATAAATCTGCAACATTTATCCTTTTGTGGCCTGTTGCTACATCTGTACCTGTTTGGGTTTGTACTTTTTATGGTAACGTGGTGACACCAGACTGTGAGTATTGATGCTTTCTTCGCTGGCATTTGCACTGCTGGAACTGGAGTTGGTCTTTTGCATCGCCAGGAAAGAGCGGATACTCTGGATCTCACTTTGGAAACTGCTGTCGGCGAGGGTCTTGCCTTTGGATCCCAACCGGCACCCTGCCATCCACTGAGCATACTGCTGCTCCTGCAGGGTGAATTTCAAAGACATAACATAGAAAAAAGAGCATGAGAGACAGGTGTGACTGTGGTCAGAGCTGAGATGATGAACTGAAGATAGAGGCATTGAAAATGAAAGGATGTCACACGTAGAGATGAGAAGAGGTGTATGGGTGTGCGTGTGGCCTCACGTTCTCACAGCGAAGATAGACCTCATTCATGCCTTCAGGTGCTGGAATCAGGAGTCTGATAAGGAACTTCTGAGCAGCCACATTAACGTCTGGAGCCACCTCACATCCTGTGTAAAGGAGCAACATTAAAGTGGTATCATTAGGTTCATGGTTAAGCTGTTAAAAACAAAAAGCGTGTAGGAAGAGACTGATATGATCCCCGCTGATTCTCCTCAACCTCCTAAGACCCGAACTCTTCCATGTCATGCATTTTTAATTTCTCTTTGATATTTGGGCATATTGGGACCCGATGAATGTAAAAACAAAGAATCACCACATTTGTTTTTTTTACGCCATTTTTGTTCCTAAGAAAAATGAGAGCCACATATGAGGATATTCGTTTTAAATTTTGATGAAACAGAGGCAGTATAATGTCCTCGTGAGTGGATATCAGGCCCTTGTAGAGCAAAATTTAGTATTTTGGTCTAGACAACCCAAAATGTGATGTCCACATATGTGGACGCCAGGTCCTAGGAGGTTAATTCACTTTTAACTCATAGTACTTATCTACCTTTAGGTGTTCACTTCTTGCAATATATTAAAACTCAGTGTCTGATATGTGATTCCATATGTGTTGGAAGTTTTTGGACTTCTTCACTGACAACATTAACACCAGAAGATCTAAAATGTCACCCCCGCATTTAACATTTTCAGAGAGTCAGTCAACTTCATCACTGTTCTCTAAATATAATACCTGCACACTTCTTCATGGCAGCTTTTGGTCCACTGTCTCCTTTTATTCTGACTATTTACGCTATAATTATTTAGCAAATTGAGTCATTCCTTCCTGTTTTAAAACACAGTCATGCAGCCGTTTCTAAAGAAGCATAAACTTTGCCCATATTTCCTTAGTAACTGCAGACCGATACCAAAGTTACCTTCCTTTGCCAAGATTTTAGAAAAAAATTCTCTTCTCCCAAGTTGCTTTCTAGATAAATACTTTTAACATTTAAACAACAAAACATTTGAAGCATAACGTAGGACTGCAGGGTTTCTACACTGGTTTTCCTCAACCTTTAGTGTCCAAATAGGAAACGGCTTCAGTTTCTACTAACTGCGATATCCCTCAGGGATCCATGTTAGGTCCTCTTTTAGTTTCAATATATTTGTTACCCCTTGACTCTAGCATTCATGAATACAACATTTACTATCACTGTTACGTGATGGCACCCAGTTTTATCTGCCAGCCACACCTGACATTGACCACTCCTTTAAGAACCTCTTCGACTGTTTGAATGATCTGAAATCACAGATAGCCAAAATATCCTTCAACTTCAAATCATAGCATAACTGAAGGTATTTTGCCTTCAGTTAGGTATTCTGCTAGAGTCTTTACTGGTACAAAGAAAAGACATCATGTCACTACTGCTGTAGATCAGCAGTATGGAAGCTTGTCTCTGCCACATAAAAAAAGTGACTTATATGTCTAAATTTTGGGTTATAATCTCAAAATTCAAACCTCAGAAATCTGAGCCAGTAAGTTGAATTTTTGAGATACCTTACTAACAATATCAACTTAGTTCCCCCTGCTTACAATCAAGCTTCTATACACATGCAATAGCTACCTGTGAAATTTCTAAAAGGTTTTAAAATTGTACTATTTGTTTTTAAAGACCTCCATGGCCATAATATATTACAGGTCTTTTTCCTC